AAAAAACATTTAAAAATTAGAATATATTTTAAAAATAGGCATAAAGAATTATACAATTCTTATGTTTACACATAAGTCCAGAAATCTAACCATATAAACCTTGTAACAGGACAGTCCTGCAACATTCCTTTTCCTCTCTCCTGCCTTCATTCACTACCCCCTTCTTTTTGAATAATTATCTACCCGAGAGACAGCATGGCAATAAATGGCATGTCATGACAAGCAGCCCATATTCAGAAGTCCAAAATGACAGGCACTCCAAGCAGAGGTTCCGAATTTATAGTTACTGCATAGAGATCTTGTGGAACAATCCAAATATCCCAGAAGATTGTCCTAACTAGATTTATCAAGATCCTGAAGTTACTAGATACTGTCTCATTTAACTCTCCCAAAACCCTGCCCCCAGGTGAGATACAGCACTTGTGTAAGTTTTCATGGTTTTTTTAAAAATTTATTTATTTATTTATTTATTTGTGTGTGTGTGTGTGGCCAGCTCAGCCCACCAGGGGGCGGGCCTGGCTGGCATGTGGTGCTGGGGGATTGAACCATGGTCCCTGTGCTTTGCTAAGCTTGTTCTAAGTAGGTGCTTTAGACCACTGAGTCATCTCACCAGCCCGTTTTCATGGTTTAGGATGAGCTGCACTAATGCATGCCACCACAGTATCAGTGCTACAAGTAGACGAAAGCTCACCTCTCACTTTGTACTGGGTCAGGGTGATCCTGCAGGGCAGGTGCCCTGCATGTGGTGACTCTGTGGTCCTGACTGCTTTCCCTTATGTATTCCAATTGAATACCTGCTCCCACAATTCCCAAGACAGGGAAAATTCCTTATCCTGGCAGTTCACTTCTATGGCCTGGGTGTGACTCATGTTACAGCTGCTCCTGGTACATTGGTAAGCACTTGTCACAGGGATCTGCCTTCCTGGATAGGAGCTTGTGGGCATACAGTTTTCTCACGTGCCTATAAGGAGAGAGGAGCTGGTTGTGGCTGAGCATAGCAAGCCGCTACTAGAGTTCTGCTGGGGCCCCTCTTACCAATGTGGGCATTGAATTTAGGGAGGTTGAGTAACTTGCCTAAGGATGCAGGGTTAGTAGAGCTTCATTGCTTGCAGAATAGCTTCTTTTCCTTTCCTCTTTGCTCTTAGTAGGTTGCAACTTTAATCTATACTTATGGAGTATTTTCTAAAAGGGAAGAAAGTAGGCTGAGATGACATGTCTTGACAGAATTCGGTTATTTGAATCAGGTTCTGTCTGTCTGTCTGTCTGTCTGTCTGTCTGTCTGTCTGTCTTTGTGTGTATGTGATTGAGATTTGGACCCGGGGCATTGTGCATGTTAGGCAAGTGCTCTACCACTAAGCCACATACTGAGTCCTGAAATAAGTTTCTTGTTTGCTTGTTTCTGTTTTGTTTGGGGATGGATATTTATCAGGTTGTCTTCATTTCTTAAAAATGTATTTTTGTTGAGTATCATCTATAAGTGAAATTGTTTTCTGTGTAAGGTATACAACATCATATTTGGAGATACTTATATATTGTGAAATGTTTACTAGAATCAAGCTAATTAACATACGCATCATCATACATACTTATCTCAATAATTAATTTCCTCCCCTTAGGAACATCTTACAATAGCACAAATCAAAATATATTCTTAAACAAAAAGAAAAATGTGCTGGGCATAGTGGTGTATACCTATAATCCCAGCATTTTGGGAAGCTGAGGTAGAAGGATCACAAGTTCAAGCCCAGCCTAGACAATTTAGTGATTTAGTGAGACCCTATCTGAAAATAAAAAGTCAAAGGGCTAGAGATGTA